ATGCATTGCTGGTAGTTCTAATAAGAGCATAATTAGACCTCAGTGCTTGCACCCTTTGATGTGGACTCACCAAAATAACTACACTAGGACAGCAGATGGACTGTTCAAAACGGGAAATTAAAAACTATTTTTCCTCTACCACATTGAAACTATGTGCTATATCAGGGTCGGTGATAAAATCACAATTCTCTAACGAACAGAGATAGACGTAAGAGAGGCGGCTCTTCTTACTTACTGCACCAATCATGTCTACTCGACCAATTCGATTAGTAGCGTCAAAACCGAGCTAGTTTGAATACATCAGTGGATAGGATTGCTCTGACTCTTCTGACATCCAACAAGTGAGGTTGACATGAGTCACTTGAGGATGATAGTGGGCTAAGCTGCTGTCCAGGCACTCTAGTTAGCGTGATCATCGCCATCTGAAACTTTCCCACTGCTTCGGTTGGGAAAGGATTTTGGATCATCGTTGTGATCCGCTGCTACCAACAAACACGAGAGAAGGGTAGTATGGCATGCTAGATAGACACCCATCTGCCCCTTCAGCGCGTTCATAACTGAAGACTGTTCTCTCAAAACAAAGCATGCTTCGCCAGCAGTAGAAGTGCACATTGGCTTATAAACAAATCAAGAGGTCTGCCTTCCAGTATGAGAAGGCTTCGTCTGAAAATTCATCAACCCAATCAACCAAACCATTGGAATCTATTGTACATCGACATTCGAATGAGGAACACGCTGTTGAAAAGTGACTTGAAATTCAGTGTATTAATAAGTCTAGCGATCACCACGGTGGTTTCATGCCATACAGTAAAGGTTGTCACTTTACTTTCGAACGCCCTGGTGTCCCACTATTTCCTTCGTTGAAACATCAAAGGTTGTATTATATCCTCTTGTTTGCATAAAATGAACGATTACCTTGCTTTCTGCGTTTCACAATACATAACAACTCACTTCAAGAGAGATTATCATGGGAACCGTCCTCGAGGGTTATTTAAGTCATACTGATTTGGCACATCAATGCAATATTACAGCCCATGTGCTTCAGTCTTAGCTCCGAAGTATCCTCATGTTCCTTGCTAACGACGGGTTTTCCACAACCCATCAAGCATTTATCGTGTACTATTGACGTTGGGTACCAATTTAACTACAGGATTATAAGATTTACCGGTCAAGCCGAAAAAGCGCAGACTAAGGACTGATTTTTAGCCCTTTCGACAGTCGGCTTGAAGAACTTATATACATGGTTCGCTATTTTTGTATGGCAAAAAGCGATTGGCTGAATAAAGCAAAGATTTCATCTTTTACAGTAGAGGCCTATCAACCGATTGAGCGAAAACTATCACCCGCCTTTGGAGCTGAATTCTAGTGAACAATTTCTTTCAGTTATGCACTCTGGAAAAAAACATTTGCAGTGATCGCTTATGGACTAAACTGCCGAGAGTGCAACGGTTCCCTGCAGGTACGCATCACTACAGTGGTGATAACAAACAAAGTACAGCTGACAAAACGAATTTCTCTTTATCCTAATCAGTATGCTATAACGAAAGCGTTTTGTAAATCGGAGAATAAACGATAGTTTTGGGATTGGAAAATAAACTGTCTCACTAAAATAAACTGGCACCACTTATAGTTCTCTCGTAAACTGCCAAGTAATCCTGAATTAAGAGACGACGGGCTTTGAAGTCTTCATAGGAGGCGAAGGACGTCACACAATACAAGGGATAAAATGGAACTCACATCGAGAGATCCTCTATTCAACGTGGGGACCAGTAACTTTTGCCCAGGGAACACGGGTGGAAGTCCACAACCAATAAGTGAGAGTCGATTGATCCGGGCCAGTTGCGTCGGTGTAACATATCCAAACTGCGCAGCAATTGCAGATAGCGAATCACCGGGTTTAACCTGTAGTTGATATGCTACTCGATCCCAGAACAGCTTACCTCATACAAAATCGTATCATCCGAATTTGACTCCATGGTCCAAACAAAAACGAACACACGCGACCTCAACGGTAAGAAGCGTTCACATTCGTAGCGAAAAGTCGCTTCAAGTGGAAAGTGAGAGAAGGGTCGCTATTAATTAAATCAACCAGCTTGCTAACAATTCATTGTATTGGTAGTCTAAAATATACAGGATAGTGGCTAATGGAGCTCTGGAGGAGCGAGAAGTGCGTGCAAGCCTATGCGAATGCAATTTCGTGAATTTTCGACAAAAAGCCATCATGAAAGCATTGCACACCCAAGGCATTTAACGCCAAAAAAATGTCCTACTCCGGTGGATATCATTTCGGGAGAAAGTTTGCTGTATATCCGTAGGCACCCAATGGAGTTCACACGCAGTGTCCTCAGCCTTCATAGCTTCATAGTTTCTGACAGTCGACAGATTCAGAAGCAGTTTTCAGGTCAAGATAAACCACAAATGTTGGAAAGAGTGACACTATTGAGAACCTAACCCAAAGTAAATATATGGCCAACGCAATCCCGATGAGAGTGAAATCCAATTTGGACGTCATGAAGTTGCCTCTCCCGGTAAAACAATACCGGAGAGCACTTAGAATGTTGGTGACGCGATGTCTTTGTCATTCGGTCATTTCTCTCGCGCGGACGAATTGGCTTTTTGGATGCCTCACACCGCAGCCGCCGAACTAAGGAGGTTGTCAACAAGGTTAGGGCGGATGTCAAATCAATGTTTGTCCCGGGGCCGCAGGCCGTACAGAGCTGCATACCAAGAGGTTCATGAGTGGTCTTAACAATGTCGAACCGAGTCTGCAACTAATGATCTTGACCCTGGGGTGGTCTAAAAGCAAAAACACCCCTGACGACGTCGGTATGTGGGCGGCGAACGTACAGAATTCATCGGAATCAATGTTGTTGGAATCCGCGCGGGAATCAACCAATGCCAAATATCGACGGCGAAACTCTTCAATTTGTACAGTCTTACGTACGCACTATGAGAACGTTTTCCAAACACAAGTGGTTAGAGATCTACATATTTGGAGTGTGCGAGACACGCATACACATTTCAAGAGCGTAAATTAGAATAGATCTGGCGGCAGACTGACAAATTCGAACCCGTCTGAATATCATTACTTCTCTGTGCCATAGTGCACAGTTCAGTTGCAGCAACACCCTGCAAGCATTTTTCAGGCGGGTTGTGGTCATCCGAAAGAATAGTTGGGCCGAAGTGTCTGAACTCGCAAACATTATCAGGCGCCACTCTACTTATTGCCAATGATCTGTCAAAGATGAGTTCTCATGGAGAACAGGCCTTACTTTTTGGGGCGTTGGCCCCAAGGCCGATGGGAGTGCATTGGCAGATACTACTGGGGGCCTGCTTAACCTGATTAACTTTGGAGCGATACCGTTCGACTCCAATGTGTCCCACAGCGTATCTCGGTTCACATAGTCGAACACTGCAAGGAAGTCGATAGAGCTGATAACAGCTGGCCGCTGACATTGTTGTTGTTCTAGAACACGGCGCAGAGCGGAAATCTGATCCGTGAAACCTTTTCTTTGGCGAAATCCCACCTCGTCTGGTCTACTGTGTCTCACAACAGCAAAGCGATTCACAGAATCTATATCCAGTAAGTTTATACCACAATAATTGTCAAAAACAGATTTGCCACTTCTTTTGTAATAAGGTAGAACAGAGGTTTCCCTCTAGGATGAGAAGAGTGGACAGAACGGCTCGTGCAGAGATGGGCTCTAGTGCATGCCACCTGAGGGAAGCATGAGGGCATGAGTTTACCCCAGCCTAGACAAGAGAAGTGGAGATGCAGAGGCCTGGTCCGAACCACGGATCTTCCGATCGGTAAATTGGCGTTCTAACCACTAAGCTATCTTGGGGGCAAGATGGCTCAGTGGTTACAGAGCGAATTTACTGCCGGAAGGTCCGTGGTTCGGACCAGGCCTCTGCATCTCAACTTCTGTCTAGGCATGGATAACCTCGTGTCCTCGTGCTTCTCTCTGGTGGCATGGCAGTTTGTCAGGACAACAGATCGGTTCAATCCGGTTTATCAGTTATAACCCATGTACCAGGAGCACCTGAGTTCCCAGCTGCTGAAGTTTTGGTTACCGGAAAATGAGAGCACAGGGAAGATACAGAAAATCATTGCAGGCGACGGCAAAGTCAGTATGTTCCGAAAGCCGGGCAGCTATGCTTCGAAGGCGATAGCTTTGAAGCACAAGCGAAGCATTAGTTCCAAACACCGACGTTATGCTGTCGATAACAATGATTATGGCTAGGGAATTCAGACATGTCTGCTAATGTCACTAGCAATTGGTGAGTTGAGTCCCGGGATCCGTAACCAAGGGGGCGTTAGTTGCCGAACCGATCGAGTGTGTTCATATTCCGTTGCCAGATCACCCAAGGTCACTTTCATTCAGCCAATCGACCGGACCCTATACAGCTAACCAGGCAAACAAATTTATCTACAATGTAGGCTGGCTTGTCTGTGAGCATCAGGTTTGGGATAGGTCCCACGCAGTCCTGTAACAAAATTTTAAACCTCGTAGGTGTAAAGCGCACGCCAAACAGTGCGGCAGAATTATTTAGAATATTTAAAATGATTTGTACGCTTGAAGAATTTGAACCAAGGAGAACGACATCGCCCGAACGCGCCATATCTGTGACTGAACGTTCTAAGCGCATTTTGACCCTTGGGTTTCCAAGGCAGGTAGAGAAACTTCAAGCACCACATCAATAACAAAGTTGAGGAGGAATGACGAGAGAAGGTAGCCTTGTCTTACACTACTGGACACGGCGAACTCAGACGAATTCTTTCTGTATACTCGTGCACAGGAGTTCGCAAACGGAGCTCTCTTCGAGGATATAAATATGGAAGAAACACACTTGATCGCCAGATAGCATCAAAGTGTCTGACTATTGAAAGAACCAAAAGTAGTTCTCACATCCAGAAAACCTGTCAATATTGGACGTTTGAAAGAGTGGCGCTGTTCAAGAGCTTATCTCAAGGTAAAAATGTGGTCGGTACATCCTCGGCCTAGACGAAACCCAACTTGACTCTCACGAGTTTGCCTCTCCCGATAGTCGATAAGTCTGTGCAAAATAACGCCCAACAACACCTTAGATGTGACGGATAACATGTTGATACCACGGCAGCGGAGCAGCACTGTATGGCAGCAAAGCATCAATGTTGAACACTTGATGATCACAATGCCACGTTGGTTTTCGCGTGAACACTGGAATCGCGGTTGAGGTGCTGCATTCCACTATTTCGTCCCAAATCTTCTGCAGTGGGGTCGTCGGACTCAGAAGGGCAACCGAGAAGCGCGTGCGTTCAGCCAACGGATCAGTCGCAGCCCGTACGGAAGTGTGGCCTGATCCTCTTCGGTCCCCTGGTGCTGGTGCGCTGGAGGGACAGGAATACTGTACATCTTAAGCTTACGTGAGTTACATTCGGATATCGTCAATTCGGTGAGTTGTGTTAACATGGTTTGAGTAAAAGTTGAAACTTATTACTAAAACACTCGAATTTATCAAATCGAATGACAAAAGAGCATTTTACCTCTATTAGTAAATGGATGGATAATGCCATGTAGACCAGATCTGCTTTGTGGACTACTATGATAGAGCCAGATGTCTGTTTCAGCAATGTGAAGTCGACGGGAACCGTATCCGGGTGTTGGGACTTCGGACAAACGGGCTGTTAAGACAGAATAATTGTGAACGATACGCATCATAAAGGCTCAGTGCCTCACACTCAAGAAGGCCCTTTCATTCTAACAACCAATATGAGCCGGCTTCCTGAGACTGAATTTCCCCGTTTGCTTTCTAGTCACTCCAACCACTTGGACAGCCGACGGTGCATTGTTTAACGTAACATTAGAACCATAGTTGATAGGGGACATGCCATGAAGTTTCTTCGGGATTAGTGGCTGGTTTCGTCCCGAAAAACTGTTCGGCTCTAACACCCTTCCAGTGCCTAGCTGCCACGCTACCTGAAGGAAGCACGAGGGCTGGGATACTGCCAGGTCACCCAAGCCCAGACAGGGAAAGTTGAAATGCAGAGGTCGGCTTCGAACCACGGACCTTCCGGTCAGTTAATTCGCGGTCAAACCACTCGAGCCATCTCGCCCCGAACGCCATTCTGCTTTTGTCCTGGCAAACGCATGACTAGGTGAGAACTGTAACGCAGTATTTTAAAGAGAGCTGTCAGGCAGGGTCACTCTCTTGACCGTTAGAGCAGGTTTGATTCCATCCATTCAATCCTTGAAGCTGCTTCTACATTCTTGACTTTGTTGGCCCGAAGTCAGGGTTTAGCGGATTCCCTTAGACGGGCAACTAATGATCCGTCAGTCCCATTAATGGACAATCGACTTCGCCTTTTCACTTTGGTGGAAACAACCCCACTACGAGGAAGCGGTGAACACAACTTCGTTAGCACACGCTCTATGGTGGAGTCTTTTGGGAGTACTTCAGCGGAGTAGGGACAGTTTTACTCGATTACCAAGACACCCACGCCCGATCATGATGAGGCACTCATTAGCTCCACTATAAGAAGCCGTAAC